AATTCGAATTCGAATCGAATCGAATCACACTAGACTCGACTCGATTCGAATCTGAATCCCTATGATTCGATTCGATTCGAATCCGAATAATTCGAGAATTTGGAATCGCGAAGATTTGAATACATTCATCCACATCATTGAATACATCAGCTACAAAAACGGGCCAGCTGGGTCTGTATGTTTGAACTCTTAACTTGTAATTAACTTAACTTATAATTAATAACTTAATTATAAATTACTTTAACCATTTAAATATATATTTTCTTCAAATATATATTTACTTCAAAATGATATTACAATATCAATCTTTCCTTTCATATTAAAATCTTCCATCATTATTTGTATGTTTAACAGTCATGTTAAATTTTTTGATGATTCGATTCGATTTCATTCGATTCGATTCGAATTCGAGGGAAATTTCATAGATTCGATTCGAATTTGAATTTAAAAAAATGTATCACGAGTAAGTATGTCTCTTCCTGATGCACTAAAACACTGTTGCGAGCAAATAAATGTTTCATGTTTCTATTAACCTCCAAAATGTTTCGCACGTCAGGAAAATACCTTGCGAATACGGTTTATTTTGAGTTACAACATTAGACCTGAATCTAACCTAAGAAAACCTAGGAAAACTTCGTATTTGCGTACTTGACTTCAAAATTCGTCACCGAGACTACGTTTCACGCGGTATACACATCTTTACACGACTCTCTAAACGGTTAGATAGATGGTTTATTTTCATCAGGGTTAGATGGGCAGCGAGAAATAGCAAGCAATGGACATCGGATCAATATTTTCTAGATGCTTTAGACGTATAGAAGACGTCGACCCGATATTTATTCGACTATCATTCTTCTCTGGATACCTAACATTAAAAATTTCACAGTACATTTTTAACAGCTTCTTGTTTCGTTTGAAAATGCCGAATAGATTTCTCTCTCTTTTCTCTCTTTAATAAACAATATTTTCCCACAGAGCCTTTTTCTGTGTTGCCATTTTTCCACCTTCCCTCCAATGTTATCTTTGGTTTCTATAAGAAGCCTGTGGAAATTTTTTATTTTATTAATAATTAATGAAAGGTTTAATAAAAAGGTTAAGAATTAATAAAAGGGTGTCAAATACTGAAAGAATAAATAAAGATAAACAAATTTCTACATTATTATAGGCATGCCCAATTATCCTTTCGTGACTGTTTAACCATCTACGTATCTTCCTCACAGAATATTTTTAATATTTCGTTATTATTGGCGTTATTATTGGCCATGAATTTTTTTCCGCAGAAATTCTTCTGCACCTTAAACATTATCCTCTACTGAGTGCGTTAATAGGCTGTTGATCATTTATTGCAATAATACAGAAGTGTTATTTCCAATTAAAAGAAAACTATGTCGATCTATCTCGGATACTCTCTCTTACTCTATCCGTCCTCTCGATACCGCGTTTTTTTTTTTTACGTAGCCGAGTGAATAAAATTAAACTCGCGCGCGCATCCAGACGTCTCCTCGCGTATTCTTAGGTCGTTCTTGTGCGACACACTCCGATGCACATGGCCCCTACACTCGATGTCGCTATCGCGCTGCTCCTTGCCCTCGGACCACGCCGCGCGTTGCATTTAGAGCGCAGTTCGCCCTTTATATTTTCGACGCGTTTTTCTCAACGCAGGGAGAAACACAATTTCACGAAACCGGCTCGCAGACGCAGACGTTTAATCCCTGCTCGCTGCGCGAGAAACACGGAGGAGAGGAGAGATTTCTCATGGTGTAACTTTGTGTACGTACGTCGTAAAGAAAAATTTAATTTTCCCTTGTACCGTGCATAAACACTTCACTGGACTGACATTTGGCAGCGAGGCAATCGCGAGGAACGCATCAATAATGCAGTAATAACGTAACGTTAATTTTCCTTCTTTCTCTCTTCCGATTCCGCTCCCGATGGACGAGCGGTAGCACGTTTGAAAACGTTTAACGGAGGTCCTTATAGCAAATCTGAAGTTATATGGAAACGGCGTCGTTTTCATAGTATTTTAATCGCAAATATAAGAGCAACATCCATCTCATAATTTCTCTCTCTCTCTCTCTCTCTCTCTCTCTCTCTCTCTCTCTCTCTCTCTCCTTTATCGCGACGAGAAGTATATACAACGGGCTAACAAAGAAAACCACATGTTGAAATTAAAAGCTACGATGTAGAAACGCATTAAACGAAGTAATAGAGAGAGAAAGAGAATGAGAGAGAGAGAGAGAAAGAAGGGAGGATACATTTTATACCAACAATGTCGACAGGGAGCTGTCGCGGAGTTCATCTCCCAGCGGAACCGCGGGAAACGGTTTTTCAATTTTCATCGTGCGGAAGTAAGAGTAATAAAAGGTGGACCGCGAATCTGTTCGCTGCGTTAAAAGCAGCAGACTTACACGTCGGCGAAATCCGCAGTACGAACTGGGGCAATCGGGCAGTACGCCAGCGTCGTTTACCTGCCGCACGATCGCGTTCGCCGCAAATCGCCCTCGTACTTAACGCTTTTCCCTATACGCGACCGCAAACCCCGAGATTCGGAATGCGCCGCTTGCGAATCACATCCCCCGAAAAGCGCAAGATACGCATGCCCGACAAGGCAAGTGAAGGTTGGTTAGTCGGTAGATAGGTAGGTAGGTGAGCTTTAGGCAGGGTCATGGTTCGGGCGACTTCACCACGTGTTTCTACTGTCGTCGACCTTTAACTCTTTGAGGCACGTATTTTTCGAAAAATCCGAATCACATGAAAATTGATATACGGGGATTTCTGGGGTCGCTGATGACGAATCCGTTATCAGATTTTCGAAATTCAAGATGGCGGATCCAGGATGGCGGCCACAAATATGAAAAATTAATTAACCTGAAGACAATGTCAGGTTGATATATTCGAATTTCATGATCCGCCAACTTGCATCTGCAATCTTGAACAATGAGTTTTGGACCTCGGATTCGTAATCAGCGACCTTGAAAATTAACCAGAGTACAATTTTAGCTAATTTAATAAAAATTCTATGATCCGCCATCTTGGAAAATTAATTTTGGGATTTTGACCTCAAATTCGTAATCAGCGACGCAAAGAACCCCCAAATCTTGATTTTGAGCAAAAGATTCACTCATAGCTCGTGGAAAATGATCTTTTTCTGTAAAAATGTGTATTTTTCACACTTTGTTTATTTATAATAAATGGACAACTTGTGCAAAAAACACTTTTCAACCTTTCATGTATGTTCCCATATCATATATAAGAATCCGACAAGAATCCCTGAAATATGAAATATTTCATGAAAATGTGAGAATAAATAGGTGGTAAAGTATACTTACCACCTAGCCTCAAAGAGTTAAAGGCCGAGGATTTGCCTTGGTTTGCTGCCTCAAATTCGACTCGCGCGTTTCGAATGGTCGAAATCCGGCCGGGGACGATATCGCGCGCGTTTTCGTCTCGCCGGCCTGCGGATTCTCATCTTCTCCAACGACGAAATGATCGAGACGACGCTTTTGAGACGACGGGCCATCGAGAGCCCGTCGAGATGTCTCGGCAAACTTGCGCGCGGGTAGATAACGAAACGTACAGCGCTCGGAGGAACTGGACGTGGCAAAGTTTGAATTCATTTACTTACAGAGCTGCCCGCTGCGAAGACTCGAAGAACGTCCGCATGACACAATCTCGTCGCTCGCGATTCAGCGCCGTCATCGGTCATTCCCGTCCAATATTCTCTCCCGACGAATAAACGGACAAAACGAATGGCAACCTTTGCGTCGGACCGACCGACACGAAGCTCCGCGAGATAAGATAACCTCACTAACGAAACACGAGTGCCCGCGGCGCGAGCTATCGACGATCGACGACGAAGTCGATACTGCGCTTCGCTGCGGTGTCGTCGAACTCGTCTCGCGCGTCATCTCGGGTCTGTTTCTGCGGATTAAACGCAGTCCGCTGCAATCGTCGCTTCCAGCTGCGCTTCCTTGCACTTCTTGCTTGCAGAACGGCTCGGGCACAGCGCGAGTCTTTCACCGAGTGAGGGAATCTTCTCGACCAATTCGTTCCGTGAAATTTCACACACACGAACGCGAGGGACTCAGCTCCGAGTAGGGATGCCGATTTAAAATCGATTTAATCGAAGATCGATTAACCGGAGCCTAAAAAAAAACATCGATTTCAAATCTATTTTCTGGAACCTGAATCGATTCAAGGATCGATCTGTAAATTCTGAAAATCGCCAACACGATTTTTTGCAGTTTCTACCGGTAATATAGTTTCTTTTTTAATTCTTTTTAATTGTAATATTTGAACTCACTTAATGGCTGCACGATGCACACTACGTTGCCTTCAGGCCGATGTCCTATGGGCGAAAATTTTCAGCGGAAAATTTTCAACGGAACGCGCGAACCAATCACAGCCACTCCAGATGTATATGCATGTAATAATAAACGTGATTTCATATTTAATAACGTTTAAAAAGCCTTGATTGATGTTTAATCAAACCAACTAAATCCTTAGCATAATGATTCAAAGATCTTTTTCCATCCTGTTGTGGCCATACACAACACAACCGAAAAAGAGTACCATCTCTTTAATTTCTTTCATTCAGATTAATATTTCATACGAATTACACGAGGTCTACTCTAGAGTGTAGAAATTTGACAGATACGAGTAGTAACACTTTAATGAGTGGTTCACTTTACATGCGTACCGATTCAAATCGATTTTCTGAAATCGATTCTTTACAAAGATCGATTTCTTTCTTCGTGATCCGAAACGATCTTTCAATCGATCTGTTTGAACAGAAATCGGCATCCCTACTCAGACAGTTCGAAAATTCGACGACGGGGTTACCACCCCGCGCGGCGAGGCGGCGACGGCGGCGGCGGCGGCGGCGGCGGCGGCGGCGGCGGCCGGGAGAGCAGGCGAGCTCTCGCACGAGGGCGCATGTGTCGACCGGCTGGCTGGCGTGACGTCGCGTGTCGCGCAGCCCTACTTTCAAAAGTCCCGTCTGACCCGTCAGTCGCGCGCCGGGCATCGGGTGATGTGTATGTTCTCTGTTTATACTCTGGAACGCGCAAGATCGTGCCCTCGCGAGAGAGGCGGTAATAATCGTCTCTCGTATCGTTCTCGCGGACTGCTCTCGCGGTGAGCCAACGTGTCGCTTACGAGTGTGCCGTCGACGCGCTGAGTGAGTGACGTCGCCGGCGCTTCCTGCACGCGCGGAGAGGCTCGAGAACAGTGTCGCTCGAGATGCTGCACGTTATAACCTGCGACTTCTTCGGTAGCTCGCGACATGGCTAACGGCAACTGGCGCGTTCAGACGGAGCCGCTACCCGCCGTAAGGCGCAAGTGAGCGAAGCGGGGAGCGATGTGACGCGGCTTGACACGATCGAATGGCGGCAGCAGCGGGTCGTGCGATCTCGTGAGGATCGGCCAGCGACAGTCGCGCGTGAATCGCCACCAATCGAGCGGAATCGAGAGAGAGAGAGAGAGAGCATGGCGCGCCGCGGCTCCAGCCGCTGCGATCGAGCTTGATCGGAGCGGGCCGGCCGGCCGGCCGGGATGATTGATACGAGCTCGGTGACTGCGCGAGTGACTCGTCGTTGAATGGCTGCGGAAGTGTCTTGATCGTGAGTCGATGATCGAGTGGTGCGACGTATCAGTGCGAGATTCGTTAGCGCACGACGCGGTGCGGCGTCGCTCGGTGACAGGTTAACTGATCAGTGCGTGACGATGATCCTCGCCGGCGGCGGTGCGGCAGAGGACCTCGGCAAGAGGAGGAGCGTCATGATCGGCTTGGCGGTGTCGTCGTTGCTGCTTCTCCTGCGGGCTCATCGGGCAGCGGCCTCCGACAATTTGGGTGAGTGCTAAAGAAACGAGAGGGACTCCTCGGCGACTCTGTTCCGCGAAATTCGCGCGGTTCAACCGGCGCCTCTTGTCTTCCGATCGCGCGCTCGCGCGCGCGGCCGAGTTTGAGGGCCAAGCGGAGGAATTTTGAAGCGTGCGAATTTTGCAAACAGCTGCAAAGCGCGCTTCCTCGACACGCAGCCGACGTGCCGCTGCAAATTTGCACGCTGCTGCGAAAATATCAGTCGCGCGCAAGGTCAACGAGAATGTTTATGTTTTGGTCGCGCGCGTTCAGATAGGCAGGACGGCGTACGAGGTCAACGCACGTTGCGAAATAAAGTACGGCCGAGTGTATGCGTGTGTGTGTGTAGAGTTTCGTGTTTTTCGTCGTCGCACGAGACGCAGCTTTGGGATTCTTCCCGCTCCTTCCTGCGTTTCCGCGGCGTCGCGCTCCGTCTTCCACTCGCGTTTGCGATCTTCACTGGGCTATCCTCCGACCTCTTCTCCTCGGCGATCTTTTAAATGTCAAATGTGAGCGTACGACCCCGTGCGATCATATCACACCCAGTGCAACCGCGTCTGCAACGAGCGTGAGTCCCTCCCCTTTTTTACATGCAATCGTATATATACGTGAATAGCCGAGGCGCGGTCGTTTGTAAATCTCTGATTGACTTCGGTCAGGCGTCTCTCCGTATGGAAATGCTTTTCCTGTTTGGTCCCGCGCGTACCCCCATCGTACATACATGAATAACGCGTGGCACGCAATATGCTAAGTGATAAAATTCATGAAGCGACGGAGGAAACGGCACGATACGCTGCAGATTGCATCGAAAGTCGGCGGGCTCGGCGACGTCGTTACGACGTCGTCTTAACACTTCCCCGATAACAAGCCGCCGCCATCGTCGAGCGGACGAGAGAGCGGGCGGTTATAATTACAAGTTACATTCCCTCGTTTCCTCGTGCCCGGGGAGATTCGACGTATTCGAAAGTATTCGACGCGGAATCCGTCGATGCGCGCGCGAAATCCCTCGAGCTCAGAGTCTCACCCCGTCGCGCGCGGAGCGAGATCTAAAATCGACCGTAAAATTGATTGCTTACGCTTGATTGAATATCCAAGAGCTCTCGCGCAGCCTCGGTATTTAAAGTTGGAGATGTTGGGGGATGAGAGAGGGCGAGAGAGAGAGAGAGAGATTGGCCGAGTCGAATCGTGTCGCCGCATACTCCGGCGAGGAGCGACTGCGGCAACGCTACGCGGGAGGGTGGCAACTCCGTGTGCATATAATTAAGATATTAGAGGGTAAATTGAGGGAATTGCCGCTCGGGGGATGATGTAGCGTGTCGCTCGCGTTTAGCTCCGTCTTTCGTGACGCCTAAGGCGCGCGCGCGCGCGCTCGCGCGCACTCCTGCGACAATTAGTATAATTGGACTTAATAATGTTCAAGTCGATATCCCTCGCGCGCCATCGGCTCGGCTCGGCTCGGCGCGGCCGTTCACCGCTCGTTTTGATTTACGGCTGAATTCCGGCCCGATGCGCCATGAATCACGGATCATTGTGACGTGCGAATTAGTTGCGGAGTCTCTGGCCGTTCCTCGTATAATTTATCTATAGCGCGCGAAATCGTTTACATATAGATGACGCTTGTCAGGCCGCGTTTTACGTCCACGCGTGCGCTCGGCGCCGCCGACGATTAAACGAATATATCGTGGGATTTGTAAGAACAGCCGGTTATATCCGCGACCACACCGCGCCATGGCGATTTATACGGCGGCGGCGGCGGTTCGCGCGCATATCGCTCGCGCGACTGCCGATTTGTCGGGGAATTAGCGTGCTCGTTAATAATTAATGCCCCGAGGAAAGAAGCCCCTCGGAAACTCGGAAATGTCGAGAGAGAGAGCGCGACGCGACGCGACGCGACGCGACGCGACGCGACGCGACTTTAAAGTGCTTTTGCGGGCCATCGTGTAATTAGATATGGATATGCGAAATTGCGCAGGAGGTTAGGAAGGACCACCATCGCCGCCGCCTGCGGATGGTCTCTGCGACTGCGAGCGTGGCCGAATTTTCCATCGGAATGTTAGGATCGCGCGATAAATCGTCGGGGAATTTTCATGTACAAAGCCGGCGTACAACTGGAATTATTAATTAGACTTATTAGCACGGATTCCACGCGGATACGTTGTGTTGCCGAGTGTGAGGCGTCGCACGTTTTCTACATCCGCGCGATTTTTATACCATTGCCATTTTTCGTAAAAGTACTCAATTAGCGTCGCCGAAACAACAGTTTTCGAGGCTTCTCCTATTAACTGGGCCATTTTGCAAATTTAATCAATTTAATTGCGACCTTTGATCCGAAGTAGATATTACTCCGGATATGCGTTCTGTGCGCGAAAATATAGTAACTATGGGAAGAGATGGTAATTATTTTATTTACACCGACGGGAATATCTCAAATCAACAGTGCATTTTCGCGCGTATTTATCACCGATATTATATTAGATGCATAAATGAGTGACACAAAATGATCAGCTAAATTCAAGGTTTGTTTTAAAAGAAAGTGAAACAAATTTGTGTCAATCAAAGTATTCGCCGTTGTTTTCTATAACTTGAAGGCGGCCATCTTTCAGGCGGCCGATGAATTCCATGTCGGAAAGAAATGTGGTGTCTTTGGACACGAGAACGCCATTTTCGTCAAGCCATTTTTGGATCTCATCCACTAATTTTAAGTACGTATCAGACAAGGCATGTTGCACCGACCGAAACAAGTGGTAATCGATAGGAGCGATGTCTGCTGAATACGCCGGATGTTGCAAGAACGTAACCCAGCCAAGACTCATTATGATGTCCTTTGTCGTAGAAGCAATGTGTGGCCTAGCGTTATCATGCAACAATTTCGCAGGACGTTCTCCTTTGCCACTATACGGGCGTTTTCGTCCTAATTCTTGACTCGAACGGATTAATTGATGTTGGTAGCGGTCCGCGGTAATTGTTTCATTCGGTTTTAATAGCTCCTAATAAATCACGCCCTTCATATCCCACCAAATGCAGACAGAGCAGAACCTTCTTTCCGAAGTGTTTTGGCTTTGCGGCTGATGTTGATGGTTCGGTTCGCCGGGATTTATCCACTGACTTTGTGCGTTTCGAGAAGAGAAAGACACACTGCCACTCGTTGAATTTGTTGACTTCAGTGAGTTCATGCGGAACCCATTTTCCTTCTTTCTGAATCTTTCCCATCTCGTGTAGGCGTTTGAAAATAGTTTGTTGCGTTACTTCTAACTGCTCTGCAAGCTCTGTTGCGTTAGTGCTGAATTCTCAGCGAGCAGTTGCTCCGAATCGTTGTCGCTGCATTTCCGAGAGTCTCCAGGACGTTCGTTGTCACTCAGACTGATGTACAAAATTAATGAAAATTCCAATTATTATTAAATAATGACCAGGTCGTAATAAGAACATGTGATTCTAGACGATGGAACTCGATCGAGCTGGAAAAAATTTATTTGGGAAAATATTCAATACTGCATATTTATGCTTACTAGAGATTAAACATTCATTTTTGAATAAAATAATATTGATAGTATGGATAAGATGGAGATACAGAATGAAAAAAACTAGGAAAATAGAGCTAAAAAGTGCAAGAAAATAAAATTTCGGCCGTTTTTGTAGAAATATTTGTTTATAAAAAAAAATCTAACTTGCAAAAGACTACTGAAAAAGACATATGTTTGTTGTACAACATCAGAAAAATATTTGGTAAAAATTTCAGACCTCTACATTCTTTTACAATACTCTCCGAGGAATCGATTTTTCCCTAAAAAAAAAGCATTTCTTTTTCATCTTTGATTTGTTATAAATAATCACAAACGAATAATTGGGTATAAAAACCTATTGGAGTATGTTGAACAACTGTTCAGTTATCTGGAAAACTAAAATCCCCGATTAGTTCTTCAAAATTATGTGATTTTCAACGCAAAATTGAATCAAGAAAAGGTGGGAAGTATACTTCCCACTAACAGTGAAAGGGTTAAACCATCTAAACAAAAATGCATACACATCATACGATGTAACACTTTCGCCGAGAAAGGAACAAATCGATTCGCATATTCTTGCAGCACTTTTTCCTTGCTGGAATTCGTAAAGAATGCGATGTCGAGTATGCACCTTATCTGTTGCCATTCTCGACTGTACTGAACTGAATACTTTTTGAGGTTATGTTGAGCCTTCCGCCATGCTAAATATAATTTTTAATAGCTGTATATTAACACTACGCTAGGAAAAAAAAATTTAATATCTCTAACAAAACTTTAGTTTAGTGTTTAGTTGAGGCTGATTTTTTAATAGCAACCAAATATCTTGTTTTATATAGCAAAATATTTAGTTGTCTCAACTAAATATATTTTTCTGCTTTGTTCTCTGGACCAAATGATTTTGTTCTTAGACTTCATATATAAAAATTAAGCATTTTAGTTATTTTATCCATAAAAATTACATAATAACGAAATATTATTTTACATAAACTGAAATAATGCCCAATAAATACTATTTTGTCTTTCTGTGCACTAAAATTTAGATTATTAAGAAAAAATTATAGTATTTTTAACAAAATTCATATAGTTGAAGCTTTTTGGTTGCTATAACAAAGGTATTACGTTATACGAACAAACTGTAATCAAACAAGATATTTGTTTACAGGAACTAAACAGTTTTGTTGGATATATTTTAACCAAATTATTTTATTGTTACAACAAAATTTTGGTTCACGCAACCAATACATCTTTCCTAGCGTGCATAACTGTAAAAGAGCGAAATTTGATTATTCGAAACTTAATTTCTCAGCCGCTTAAAAAAGTTTGGATTATTCATTTGTGCATTTGATATTAACAGGGACACGTTACGGAAATGGTTGAAATTTTTGCAGCACCCCGCGAGGGTGCCTTTCGCGCCTCTTTATTGCAACTAGTCGCGTTTCGATCGTGATGATTGGTCTGCGGGTGTCCAGCACGTTGCGTCGAAATACTAGA